GAAAGTATAAAGTAATAGCTGGCACTAAGTGGAGAAGCCTAAATGATGGAGTTATGACTACAAATATGAAAACAACTTGTTTTTTCAATGTGAATGACACAGTCAAGCATTGAAATGATGCTTTCTTTGGTGTTAGAAATTAAATTAAAAAAATTTATTGTAGTTGATTCACAATGTTGTGTTACTTTCTACTGTACAGCAAAGTGATTCAGTTATACATATTTATACATTCTTTTTCATATTCCTTTCCATTATGGTTTATCACAGGGTATTGAATATAGTTCCCTATGCCATACAGTAGGACGTTGTTGTTTAAATTTTTTCATATGCTTGAAATTTTCAGCATCTTAAGGCCTCAAAATCTAAGAGTGGGTGGTTCAGGATATAAATTAAATCAACATTGATTCATTCATTAATTCACTCAACAAATAGATACTGAGTGCCCCGTATATATTAAGGATCACCAGGGATGAAACTATGCATAGAACAGACCCAACTTCTTGCACTCATAGAGGTTACATTATTTTGGAGAGAGCCAGGGCAACTGAAAAACAGATAATAAAATACATAGCATTTCAGATGGTGCTAAGTAATACGGTGAGAAATAAAGCAAGGGAGAGGACAGGAAATGCTGGCAAAGATTGGGTGGGGTAAATGGGTTAGAGTTTTAAATAGCATGGTTGGGGAAGTCCTAATTAAGAAGATGCTATTGGGTGAAGGCCTAAAGGAGATGAGAGAATGGGTGTGTGGATACACGGGGAACATTAAATCTCACTGTTATCAACATTGCCATTGCTTCTCATATTGTTTACTCTTCCAGAGAAGGAAATGGTGTTGAAGACAAGGCAGAATATGCGTTTGATTTGGTGTTGTTCTTTTCTATCTCTGCTTCCCTCTAACACATTTCTTTTAGAGCAAGCATTTCGATAAAATATTCAAGTGAGAGTTTGCCCCCATGACAGATGCATTTGGATTTTGCCCTGTAGTTATGACTTCAAAGTCATATCAAAAGGTACCCAAATCAGTCCATCAGCTCAGCAGCAGAGCAAGGAAGAGAACCTGAGAGCCTGTGTTTCCCATCCTAGGGATCGCTCTATTGGACCATCTCCATCTTCCCTAGGTTATGGAGCTTCATGCTGGGAATGGAAATTACTGACAACTGAGCTAAGAGTGTCTCTCAGATGCACTTGGATTTGTTAAAGGTGGACAAAGAGATGAACAAGTTGTTAATTCCTGGGAGGATAAGAAATTGATTCCCTGTAGTTTTCATTTAGTTTCTCAATGTCCTTATAGAATAACTCATAACTTTGGTCAATCTCTCATCTAGATGATTGCAACAGCCTGCTTTATCTTCTGTCCTTGCCCCTGTAAGCACATTTTCAACACAACAGCAAGAGTGATTTTTAAGAAAAACCTACGTCAGATCATGGGATACCGCTGCTCAGAATGTTGCGAAGGCATTTTATTTCACTCAGAGTAAAACCCAGCTTCCTTAGAACAATTCACTAGGCTCCATATAACAGGGCCTCAGGTTTGTCTTCTGCCATTCTCTACCTTGTGTTATTCTACCGAAGGCACACTGAGCTCCTTGCCATTCCAGGCAGATTCTTGCCTAAGGGCCTTTGTATAACACAGGTTTTAGAACTTTCTCCCCTACTTCCTCCAGGTTTCCTTACAAAGGAAATCAGCTCAGATCATCCTAAAAAATAATCACCTTTTACCCTCTACCCCCTTCCCTTTCCCACTTACTCTCCTTCTGTTTCCTTATATATTTACCATTTCATGATGTACCATATACATTTGCCTCCTTACTGATGATTTCTTTTCCCCCACTAGAATAAAAGCTTTGTGAGGGCCAAAACTCACTTTCCCAGAACCTAGAGAAGTGTCTAGCGCATAGTAAATGTTCATCTCTGAAGAAAATGACCAACCTGTAGTTTATGATTTAAATTAAATGGCGCTGGTTGGACTTAGTGCTATACCCACACAAATAAACTTAGGTCCAGGTTATTGTTTCTTTCCCAATGACAACAAAGCAAATGTTAAAAAGGGTGCAAAAGCTTTTGAAATATTAACAGATGAGTGAAAGAAAACCAAACTTGTAATAATGGGAAAGTACATTTTACCTATTGCTTAGGAATAATCTTTACAATGGAATGATTTCATAAATACAAATCTAAAATAAACAACACATAAACGTTAACATTCTCTGGAGAAAGAGACGTTGAAGATTAAAAAAAGAGGGCTTCCCTGGTGGCGCAGTGCTTGAGAGTCCGCCTGCCGATGCAGGAGACGCGGGTTCGTGCCCCGTTTCGGGAAGATCCCACATGCCGCGGAGCGGCTGGGCCCGTGAGCCATGGCCACTGAGCCTGCGCGTCCGGAGCCTATGCTCCGCAATGGGAGAGGCCA